AGCGTCGTATCAGCTCCGACGTGGGTTGCTGAGATCAGCAGGGATCCATTCTGGTTAATGGAGCCTGCAATGACTGTATTGCCAGGCTTTTTAGTCACAGGCATTGCTTCCCCTAAGGAAAGGCCAACAACAGATCCTTAGGGATATTTTCCAGCAATATTACAACAGCTACTAAGTCCTAGCATGCAATTAGAAGACAGAACATCAGCTTCAAGCTCCCTTCTTCAGCTTCGTTTAAAGGAAAACATCTTTACAGTGCCAAAAAGCAAGCTGTTACCTGTGATGAGAGATTCATCTACCATAGAGTGTCCTTCAATCACACGACCATCCACTGGGAATTTGCCTCCTGGGATCACTTTGACAATGTCACCTCGTTGAACCAGTTCCACATCAACCTGCTCTTCACTAGAACAAGTGTTTTTAGGAAGAGACTGTTAACTGAAGTCATCCAGGCAAAAGGAATTGTCACTATACACAGAGCAATGGTTGACATTAACACACAAAAATTCTCAGAAGAAAGGCCATTTTAAGGAGCACTAAAATTTGATCATTTTATTGACTTTCCAGTTGAGAAAATCCACTAGTTTTCTTATCACAGCAAAAATTAGCAAGATACCAATAAAACAACTAAGAGCAGTGTTAAATTTTTTCTGCATTTTAATATTTATATTTGGCAAATGTGCCAGCAAATCTGAAGTTATTTGCTTCATAGTTCTATAGAATGGTAACATTTGGCTGTGAATCAAGCATATCAACAACAAAAAAAGGAACAGAAAAAGCAAATGACAAAGCAGGATACCTTAAAAGAACGTTATCAGGGCCCAAGGTAACAATAGTAGCTTCAGTAGCTTGTAATGAAATTAGTCTTGCCAGTGCTTCTGAGGTTTTACCCTAGAATAATAATTTTCATGTTTTTCTGACTATGCTATTGAAAAAAAAAATCACTGGGTAAATGACAACTGCATAGGTTGCAATTTACCCTGTTAAGAAAACACTTTCTGCACACAAGTCTGCAAATATTAATTCTTTTTACACATTTACTCATTCAGTTATTGAAGATGACTTTACAACAAAGGAGGTTAAAAGAAGCTAGCAAAGCTTTTTCATGGGATTTTTTTAATTTTTATTTTAAGGTACACAACAGTCCAAAACTCTTCTTATCACCTTGCAGCTTTAAGAAAACACTTTCTGCACACAAGTCTGCAAATATTAATTCTTTTTACACATTTACTCATTCAGTTATTGAAGATGACTTTACATCAAAGGAGGTTAAAAGAAGCTAGCAAAGCTTTTTCATGGGATTTTTATATTATTTATTTTATTTTTTAAGGTACACAATAGTCCAAAATTCTTCTTATCTTGCAGCTTGTAGCTATCATAGGCTTTTATTTTCCTTACCTTGGCCACATGCTCCAGCCACCGGCCCAAGGAGATGAACACAAAGAGCATAGGAGGAGTGTCAAAGAAGGTGACAGGGTTTACTTTTGCTTTCTCAGCCATTGCAACCAGGAGGATGACAAAGGAGTAGATGAATGCAATGGAGGTTGCCAAAACCACCAGCACGTCCATGTTTGCAGTTTTGTGCTTCAGAGCTCTGTATGCCTGTATGTAGAAGTGCCAGCCTCCAAACATCTGTAAGAAGAGCATCAGCTGTATTTCACACACACACACTTAGAACACACAGAAGCAGCACCTCCCTGAGAGAGGGAGACACCCATTTTATTTGTCTTGTCTTCTCCACCTCTTCCCCAACAGAATCCCAGCCCTAGCCAAGGGCTATGTTCTCTACCACAGTACTCCCAGGTCCTTCCCCCTCCTCCCAGTTCCCCCAGCTTGTCCCATGCCCACCAGTACAGCTAGGCAGGCAGCCTTGGACTGCACAGCACCTCTGCACTGACCAGCCTGCCTGTAACAGTGCCCAGCATTGCTTTTTGTGGCAATAGCAGAAGCACCTAACAACCTCAAGAGCATTTCAATCAGCCTAATTACACTCTTTTTGAACCAAATTTCTAGATTGCCTTCCATTTGGAGTGTTTAAGCCCAACAGACTTGAGCTGTCATATGGCTGCTTACCTGTACAGGGACACAGAGTAAAAATGACAGGAAGTTCATAACAGACAGTCCTGGTAGGAGCTGGTATTCCAGGAACATAGAGGAGTGAAGGGCCTCCATCTCCTCACTGCTCATGTTGTGATGTGTGTGAGCATCTGAGAGCTGACTGTCCATCACCATCATGTAAATCATCAGCCCCATGACAGGGATACAGAAAACGAGACTCACGACAAAAGACCTTTTCCACCTCAGAGTGAGAAAAAGAAAAAGAAGTTTTAGTCAGGTAACATTTTGGCCAGCAAGTCTGCACAGACATAGAAAAACAAATCATAGCTTCACTGTGCATCAAAAAAGAATCAAAGATGTTTACAGAATCCTTACAGAGTCTACAGAACATTCAGCTGTTTATAGAAACTATAAAATGTTCAGGAATACTTACTGCCTTATTTCCTGTTTGTGATCTAGATGACTAGCAGATCTATCTTTTTTGACTAATGAAGTAGTGAAACCTAAATCCTAAGGAAGCAAGTATAACAAAAAAACAACAGTTAATTTCTGAAGATACTTTGTACTCACAAAGTTATTGCCAGATTATTGATTGTGCAACCTCAGCTTCTGATTTACTTTATTAACATTTCAGGTATGATTCTTACTATTTTTCAGTTCCCTTGCAAAGACAGAAAGCAATCTGATGTAGAAACCAACCTTTCTAGAACATGAAAATGCTGTTCTAGAACAGGGCTTTGCATAATGCTTACTCCTGAAGCACAGGAGTGGAAAAAATTGGGGGAGAGAGGCAGGAAACGCATTTCCCCTCTCTCCTGCTACAACACTCATGGATGTACCTTATTTTGCTGCAAGCCTATAGCTGGTGTCTCCAACTACGACAGCCTGGCTTTCCTAGGATTGACATTTAAAAACTTAGGCAAAGTCCTAACAGAGCATTGCTTCTGAGCCAGAACACACACATCATCTGCAGAAATCTGCACGAAGAATAGAACAGATGGTTCTGTTTCTGGGGTACGTAACTCTTCAGAGGACACTGGATATTTTATGAGATTTGGTGCCTTCATGAAGCTTACCTTTATCACCTGTATAACATCTCGAGGGCCTATGATCTCAGGATCATATTTAATGTGTGCTTTGTTGGTGGCAAGAGCTACTGAGCAGTATAAAACACCATTAGTCTTCATGAGCGTGGACTCTATTTTGTGTACACAAGAAGCACATGTCATTCCTCTCACCTGTAAAAAAACAAAGGTGCCTTCCTGTATCAAAACCACAGGTCACTCAGTAGATGCATCTTTAAAAGCAGGAAGAGTGCTTATGACCACCCTGAATGAATTATCATGTATTTCTGGGGTCTGAAGCAGTGAGATGGAGCTCTCTAGTTAAGGGTGAGAGCACTACAGAGAAGCACAGCACAGAGACAAGGTTATTAAGCTCTGCTAAACTCTGCTCAGAGCTGAGGTACACTGAGCTACACTCAGCTAGGGGGAAAAAAAAAATTCCTGCAGTAGGCAGAGTAATCAAAAAACCCACAGGAATATTTCTCCAGCTCCAGTGTAATAGCAGTTAGCCAGCAGTCTGCGGGACAAGACATAGTTTGTGATACATACCTCATAGGCTCTTTATTTTTTTAAATTAAGCTCTATTATATGCTTAACACTTTAGGAAGGGGATGCTTACTCAAGCACAAGCAGGAAATAAAAGGAATGCCCAGCTTACAACAAGTTCCAGGACTCCATCTCCTTCCCCACAGCTCTCCAGCACGGCCGCCCCGAAGCCCAGCTCCCGGATGAGCTCGGCGATGGCCGAAGGGTGGGTGACAGCAGGATTGTACCTCACTTCTGCCTTCCCAGCCATGAGGGCAACAAGTATGGAGTGAATTCCTGCAACACAGCATGTGTCAGTGGCAGAGCAGGTCGAAAAGAACCACTGCATTGCTGGCAACACCAGGCACGGCAGCAGCTTGCTGGAGCTGAGAAAGCTGCCGCGTTGTGGGTGCATATAAAGAAAAACATCATCATTTTTGGAAGATACATCAACAATGCAACCAAAGTACCTAAGTGTAGGTGTCAGAGACCAAAATATTACTCCATGAGTTGTAAGTTTTCAACAATCTAATGATAAATATTCAACTCATGCTATATGAAAAGATGATCTCTTTTTACTTAAAAATTCTTCTAAAATACAGTTCTACATATTTTTCAGATCTGTATTTACCATTTCTAAAAGCCTTTCCTTCAAGAAAGAACACGTATGAGAAAGGGCAGATGTAACAACATGGACACAAATTAAAAGGGTTTAGATTCAGCTGTTTTCTAGGATTAAAAAAATCAATCCCAGGTTAACTTGGAACACATCCATCTTCATTACAATCATTAAACACAGCCTGCATTAATGACTCTTCATTACATCATAGTCATGCAACTATTTCTTCCTGCATATATAATCATCACACTGACAGGAGACAGAAACAGGTGTCCTGACTTGCAGAGCTAAAATTACCTTATGTCTCTTTAATCCCTTTCTTTACTGTCCCTGTCTAATAGCTCCCTGCCTAACACAGGCACATCACCTCTGCCTTGAAGCTGCAGACCTGGCTACACCCTCTGTAGAAAAAACCTGGTTTAGTTTCAGAAGGATCCATATTTGATCTCTTTGGAGCACTCCTACTCCTGCTTTGGGGAGTGCAGCCTTCATTGTTTTCATCCTATGAACCAACAGTGAGCAGACAAGGTTCTCACCATGAAACACACCAGCAAAGGTGCTTCTCTTGACAACCCCCCCATCCAAAATGCTGCACAGGAGTCAGATGGATGCTCCACTTGGAAATGCCACAGAGGACACCAATGTGTATCTTACCATCTTCTCTTCTCAGGTTCCTCTCAATGTTGGCTACGCAGGAGGCACACGTCATCCCCGTGACCTGGACGTAGCACTTGGACACAGCCTTTGCCTCTGCTCTGCCCAGGGGGGCTGGGGACCCTTTGGGGGGAGGCTGGGCCTTGGGAGCTTCCAGCTGTGCTCCAGGTACTTCTGCCTGTGCTGAAAAGGAGATGGCAAGTTGTGACAGGAGGAACAGCCACTTCAGTGAGGGATGAGCCACAAATACAGGTTGTGGGCATGCTTCCTAAGTGAAGTCAGGGAGAAGGGTTCTCAGACTACAGGCACCTGCTCCTTACTGCAGTTCAGGAGAGGCAGTGCTCATGCAGGAGCAGTGTGAAAGGAGCACCCGATCACTTCTTCAGTTAGTGCCATAAGGTAGCTCACAGACTGGATTTCTCCAAATTTAATCCTACTGGATCATGAAATGGAGATTCCCTGTCTCCTCAGGAAGCCTCTCTTCCTACTAATGCTCACCTGTATTCTCATCCTGAGTCTTCTGCATTCTACTGTCCAGCCATCTGCTCCCACTGTGCCACTACTTTTAGTGTACCAGTCACAGAACTGTAGAATCATCAAAGTTGGAAAAGACCTCTAAGATCACCAAGTCCAACCATCAACCCAACACTACCATGACCACTAAACCATGCCCTGAAGTGCCACATCTACACATTTTTTGAACCCCTCTAGGGATGGGGACTCCAGCACCTCCCTGGGCAGCCTGGGCCAATGCCTCACCACTCTGCCAGGAAAGAAATTCTTCCTAATATCCAACTGGAACCTTCCCTGGCACAACTTCAGCCCATTGCCTCCCATCCTAACGCTGGCTACTTGGGAGAAAAGACCAACCCCCACCTCACTACAACCTCTTTTCAGGTAGCTGTAGAGTTGTCATCACAATAAGTACCTGCACTAGTTTTGGCTAGGTCAGGGTTAATTTTCTTCACAGTACCTCACATGGTGCCATCTTTCAGATCTGCAACAAACCAGCGTTGGGAACATCCCAATGTTTTAGTTATTGCTGAGCAGCACTTGGAGAGCCCAGGCCTTTTCTGCTCCTCAGCCCACCCCACCAGCAATCAGGCTGAGGGAGCCAGGAGTTTGGGAGGGGACAGAGCCAGGACAGCTGACCCCAGCTGACCAAGGGGACACCCCAGACCACACAACATGGAGCTCAGGAGCTGTGGGAGGTGGGAAGGGGGATGTTTGGAGTCATGGTGTTTGTCTTCCCAAGTAACCATTACTCATGATGGAACTCTGCTCTCCTGCAGATGGCTGGACACCTGCCTGATGGTGGAAATAATGAACAAACTCCCCCCTTTGCCTGCACAAAGAACATTTGTTTTACCCAGTAAGCTACCTTCATCTCAACCCAGAAGTTTTGCTCCCCTGCCCTTCTTTTCCCCATCCCACCACGGGGGAGTGATCCACTCCCCAGAACCCTGCCCCTCCTCAGTCCTGCCTGAGCCTGGTCACATATCCCTTCACCAGCTGCTTCACAGGAGCCAAGGTTTTGATCATTTGCTATTAAAGAATCTTCTGCAAAGCACCCCACAATATTCTTCACAGCTAGCAAAGCTCTGATTCCATATTCATGCCATGGATATTATACAGTAGCAAACTGGGGCACCAGCCAAACATCAGCATTTAGCTGACATATTTGTATTTCCAGAGATCTCAAACATCTTTAAGCGAAGTGCACATATATTTAATTATCTCATTGGCAATAAAGAAATAAAGCTTCTCTTGGCAAGCACAAAGTATATGTCAGCTGCTAAATATCATCTTGGGTGGCACCAAATCCTAAACAGAGCTGCATAATCCTTTGAAATTTAAAAGTTGAATGTGTCATTACCTGGTAAAGATGCATCAAATCCCATATCCTCTACGGAGGACAGCAAGTCTTCTGGGCAGGTCTGCAGAGGGTCGTATTCTATAGTCCCACTACTGTTTGTGAGAGAGACACGAACTGATTTCACCCCTGCCTTTTGGGACAGGACTCCCTCAATGGACTGCACACAAGAGTTGCAGGTCATTCCCTCAATATTCATCACCACGACTTGAGTAAGAGGCTGGCCAGCATCCTTCAGAGCTGGATGAGGAGGCTTCAGGGGAGAGGCCAGCGTGGGGAAAAGTGCCACGTTTCCACACTGGTCAGGGAGGCTGACTTTGAAGGTCTCTGGAGACACTGCCTCTATGGCTTTCCTCAGCACCTCCACGCTGATTAAGTTTGGGTTATAGTTTATAACAGCAGATTTCTTCTCTAATGACACAAGGACACTGGTTACCGAAGGGAGTGCTGATAGGGTACTCTGGATGTTGAGGACACACGAGCTGCAGTGCATCCCATCAATTCTGAAAACAACTGTCTTTGGATCAGTCATGGTGGAGTTCTCCTTTGGTGCTGCCTTGGAGCCTTTGGTCTGAGTGTTCCTCAACCTTTCCAGGTCAACAGCACTGAGCCTGAGGGCTCTGGGCTGCTTTTTGAAAGATGCTGTGAAACCTGCAGCATCAATCTGATGTTTTATTTCTTCTGCTGTAATTAGATGAGGCTGGTAGACAACAACAGCTTCCTGATTGTCCAGGGACACTGCAAATTAATCAATTAAAAAAAAAAATCAGGGTGCATTACTGGCCTAAGCATAGTAAGTATATTGCCCTTAGAGCAACAGATCTTGTCAAACCTTTCCAGGAATGCTGTAAATGCTCAAAATTGTAACTGCAATGGAAAGGAGATGCAATTGGGTTGGAAAATATCAAACAATTTATTTCTTCAACCATTCTTCAACAATTTTCAACTCTTCTTTTCCCTTTCCCCAGGACTTTCACAAATGGCATTGCTATTTCTTACTACATCTATCCTTTTGTCAGGGGCCTAAAGCAATATATTTATGCCAAGCCTATTTATACAGATCATTTTGTCTTTCCTTTTAGATACAATCATGTATATGCCAATATTCATTTTTAATTGAAAATAAAATATAAACCAATATTAATTACAATAGGAAAAAAAGACATCTTGTATTGCAGGTTCTTATAACTGGTCACAAAATTACTATGTCAGGTTCCCTATCAAAATACAAGGGAACAACTGAATATTGTCACGCAGGGAACAGCAACACCCCCACCACAGCTTGGGCCCTTTTTGTGAAGAAAGTCCAGACTAAGTGTAACCAAATACCTGGCACCACAAAGAGCAATGGTCACGCTAAGCTGTCTCATCTAAACCCAAGATCTCTCCACAATGCCACCAGAGAACAGCACGGGCAACTTCAGCTGGCATAAAAATACACTAAGGTTTTACCTCTAACCCGCTGAATTCCTTGCAGCTTGCCAAGCTTCCCCTCAATGGTGCTGGTGCAGGAATGGCAGGTCATCCCTGCTACTTTCACACGCAGCACAACACTACTTGCTTGAGACCAGCTGGAATCTTCACAGGTTCCAGGTGTTGTATCTGGCACAGAGACATTCAGATCTACTCCTGGGACCATCTGGCTGATCTGCTGGCCATTGATCAGGGCAGGAATGAACGTCACCACTGCAGTTTTTTGATCAGAGGATATTTTAACATCCACGATGCCTTTATTTTTCAGTAGCACATGACAAATCTGTTTAGATGTTAGAGCTGACTGAGTGGGGATTGTAAGAAAAACAGTGTCAGGTAGAACAGGTTGTGGGTTTGCCCCAGCTAAGGTAGCATCAAACCCCATGTCGTATATTGCTTCCCGCAGCGCCGCTGGAGTCTGCAGCTTTGAGTCATAAATGATGACTGCATTCTTATCCTCCAGAGATACCTTGCAAGGAAATAAAAACCCAAACAATTTAGTAAACTGCAAGACTAAGAGAGGAAGAATATCCTTTGTGAGATCAAAACCAGTTTTTACTTGCATATATTAGTTCATATTTGCCCAGTATAGTTCTATCCATCACTACTCACCTTGAAGAGCAAAGCCCTACCAATAGCCACCACAAAATAACTTCTGCTCACCTGTGCCACAGCACAGCTAGAAAGGATTTTAATTCTTCCCCTCTACCAGTTTCAAAATCCTTTACAAGTCTGTCTGGCCACTTTTACTTCTGACAGCCAGACACCATCAACACATTAAATGAAACTTCCAGAGTCCAAACACTCTTCAATTACGATGACTAAGCCAATTAAACCCCAAAAGCAAAACAGCCCACAGAAAAAAAAATTCTAATCCCATGTACAGTTCTGCAGTTAGTGGTAATTACCCTTAGGCTACAGGGCTGGAAGGAAACACTCTTTGAAAAAACCCACACATTTAAGCAGCAGTGAAAGGAGTCCAGGATTTCTGTGCACCTCAGGCACAGGCTGTGAGCAATAAAGTGCATCAGGCTTCACAGAATAAAACTCAATTCTGAAATGACAGGTATTAAAAGAGGCTGTTTTTCCTCTCTCTGTACATCTTGGTGATCCAGAGACATCCTGATTGGGTCCTAACCTTTCACATTGGATGGCACAAATATCCTCAATTTAATTTGCTCCCAACTGATGATATATCAAACACAGTTACTGCAGTCTCCAAATGGGAAAGCCAATGCCTGCCAGAGGCTCAACACATTATCATTCAATTCTACCTTTCCTCTGGGCAAAAGCACTACCTAAAGACCACAGTCATGATTAAATTAGATGAGTTAAATCATTTTAAGAACCACCTTTCTTCATTTTTGTCCCAATTACAGGCCTCAGCAGAATTAGCAACATGGCCATTTATTGGTTTCATTGCAGTTGGAGGCAAAATAACCTAAAAGCAGCTCTGTTTTTCTGCATTGGCCATCGAACATTCATGTCCCTTGCTGACCTAATTCCTGATCACTAAACAACTCCCTGTTTTACTATTCTCAGAGATTTTTCTGAAACAAGTGATCTGGCTAAACTGAAGTTCTGCTGCTGTAATGAGGATAATGACTACATATGACCTCTTAAAGTTTCTTATAGTCCTACTCTACTTAGACTAAGTTTTTGCAATATATTTTCTTCCCAAGAGTAGTTTTAGAAAACAGCATTCAGCTTTGGGATATTTACCTTAGAACCTAAATATGTTTCAAGTTTTTACTCTTGATACAGTCCCTTCAAAAACCTGCTCCATTCCTTATGTAAAGGACATTATGGGATGCACACTGTCTCCAAGTTAGTGTAAATCTCTTCTATCTCAAGTCATTGGTATATTCTCAGCACAAATTCAGGCATAAAACTAAGAGCAATCTCCCAGCTTTTAAAATGTTTCCACTACCAAACCCACTGTAAAATGATGTATGGTGTAGGAATGAGCAGCTCACCCTGCAATCATCTACAGTCTGAGTTTTTGCCCATGATAGAAAAAATAGTAACAAAATATTGGTATTTCCTCTGAGCTAAGAAAAAAAAAAGTTAAAATTAAGTCAGATTGAGGAAGTCTGGATTAAGGGCAAAGCAAGTAGCTCTGTTAACAGTACAAAAGTCCAGTTCTGCTGCTCTTTCTCTTATTTCTTCATGGACAGGAGAAAGGAAAGGCAACTCCTAATGCTCCACAGAGCTAAGGCAGCTTTCCTTTGTCACCTGGATTATCTGCTAGTCTTACTTCATGAGCCACAACAAAACAGCTTTATTCTTCATGATGGGTCAACCACCACAGGATTAACTGCACACCACAAGCCAACTGACTGCTTTTGAACCTGTGCAAGCGGCCTCTCTGTACTATCAGTTTGGAAAGGCCAGAAGAGGCCTGGAGGCTTATGAGCAAACACTGACATTTATCCAATATAAAGAAGGAGGACAGTTTGCTTTTTTCAGCAGTTTTAAGTACTAGGGCTCTGGCTTTATCTTTTTTAAAAATTTCCTGCTCTTGCCTTTCTGACTTCTTCCTCATTATTTCAGAATACTGAATTAATTGTAAAACAGAAAATGATTTAAAAGTAACAGATGACTTAGCACCCACTGCAGTAAAGTAACCACTTGGTTTTCTCATACCAGAAACACACCACTGCACTCGTAACACCACACCAGCTGCTCATGGAAGGTACAGAACATGCTTTTTTCCACACAGTCTCCTCCTTTGGGGCAGAATTCATCATGGTTTCTTAGACAAGAACAAAGCTTTGTAAGAAACAGGGCCAGCATTACTTACTTCAACGTTGTGGATCCCATTCATCTTCCCAACGTGCTGCTCGATGGCCTGAACGCAGGAGCTGCACGTCATCCCCTCCACACCAATGACTATGGATCTGGCCTCCATTGTGAAACTCTACTGACCTCTTCTCATTGCTGTCAGCCAAAAACAACGAAGACATTTGTTCTTAAATCATTCCACAAGGACTGAAATCAAACCAGGGGTTTAACAGATGGTGTACTTGGACACAAGTAACTCCAATGTCAAAACCTGAGCAAGGCTGAACAGGAAGCAGAACTTCAGGTATTTGTTCCTATGAATTTTTCAAGAAGTGTTCAGACATTTATTATTTAATTTGCATTACAATTGACATCCTTTAATCACATGCAGCAAGCTCTGACTCACTGGTGCATGAGATGAAACTAGAGGGAGAAGCAAGTGAGAAAGATCTCCCAGCTCCTGGAAGGCTCAGTGACAGAGGACATCAGCCCACCAGCCCCAGTGACATGGGTGTTGAACGTGTTTTTCCACATTTATACTCATATATTAACCTATGCTAGCAAAAACAAGTGATGCTGAAGTTAGCCCTAGGAACCCAATCAAGCTTTTTCCACAGCTCGTTCAGAAAAGTCTAATTTCTGCTCCTCTGAAGATTATGATTTTCTCTCATGAAAATGAGGCCAGAAAAAAGACTAAATTAATTTTATAGAAAAAAACACCTAATGCAAAGGACTTCTTTTGTCTGGTGTATAAACTGGTAAGTAACAGAGAGGAAAAGGGGGCAAAAGTAGTAATTTCAGGTATTTTTTTTTAAAACTTTTGCAGAAATAATGCCATTTTCCAAGTGACAGAGAAGGCTGTGACCAGAAAAATAATCACTCAACTGCTCCATGTTTGGCTGCAGAGGAAACAACAGCAAAATATGACAGTTCACTCAGCAGCTCAAGTTAAGAACGTGCTTGTTTTTTTACCTTGGGGACTTATCTTGGAAAATGAAATTACATTAAGTATTAACAACGTTTAATTAACTAAATTTTCTTGCTCTTTGATGACATTTGAGAACTGCTCCCTGTTACAGAAGGTCTGAAAGTTTCTGATTTCATTTTGAGACATCCCACAAACCATGTAAGAATACAATAAAAAACATGTTTACCTCAATGTTGCACAAAACTAAATGCTGAAGCTTAATGAACAATAAGACAAGCCAGTATAAACCACTGAATTGGTGAACTTTCCCATAGATTAAATATATTTTTCCTTTAACTGCATTTTGTGTGAAGACTCAGGTACTGCAAATTTCTGTTAGCCTGTGGGAGAATTTAACTATCATTTCTAAGTCAAAAAAGTTAAAAAATAAAGCTTAATGATGTCAAGAACATAAGAGGTAGTCTGAGAAGTTGATTTTAAAGATTTATTTTTCTAATGCATCTCCTAAGGTCCTCAAACGACCAGCTAACTCATCTAAAGGGCTGGACTTGATGATCTCAAAGGTCTTCTCCAACCTTAACCTTCTATGATTCTGTTACTAAAGAAGTCACCATATTGTGCTACAGTCAGTAGGGAACAGTAACAATAACTCATCCCTGCCACGAGCAGAAATAAGACAACTCTACCTGAGGAGTGATTACAGACCCAATTCTCAACTGTTCTTACAAGATCTGAGTTATTAGAAATATAAAAATATTTGTATGTAAATATTCAATGATTACAGACACACAGAACTGTCACCTGACATACAAGAGAATTAGGAATCAGCAGAAGAGGATATTCTAAGCAAGCTTCATATAGTAGGTCCTTTCTCAGGCTCATCTGCACACTCAAAAAAAAAAAGTTTAGTTTTAAAAACACTATAAGGCTACCCAAGAGAACACATTCTCTCATGCCATGGTACTGAAATGCAGTTCTTAGTGATCACCTCTGCTCTTCCCTCAGGAATGCTCAGCCCATACAGGGCGAACAAAGACATCCTTGTAACTCCAGGGCCATATTCCCACCAGGCTGAAGTGCAAACAAAGCTTCAAAAAGCACTTGACTTACAGTGTGTTTTGTGAGCACAACCCACTGAAGTGAGACACAACTCTCTACTGCAGACAGAGCTATCTGTCCTCCAGTAAGGTCTGCACAGAAGTGAATTTAAAAGCATTTCAGGTACAGACTCAACTTGAACTGCCTTCACAACTGCACTACTATTGTATTAAAAAAAAATAAATTACAAAGTAAGGAAATAATTTGGCTGTGAGCTGCTACATATGTGCATTAGCTCAAAAGAGAACCTTGCTGTCCAAGGGTTATCACAGTTATGGTTCAGGATGCAGCTGAAACAACAAGTCTAAAACTTCTGTAACATCTCAAAAGCTTCCTAGGTGACAACATACATTTTATGAGCTGACCCTGAAGATCTCAGTTATCACCAGTGAGTGCAAGGGAAACAACTGCTAATCAATAACTCGTCACTGGAGGTTATTGTGGACATATTCTTTTAAGTGAGATGCTAACTGTGTTATGGATCACACAGTGTTTTAGAGAGGAAAAAGTTTTATTCTTAACCAATACATTGCTTCATGTATAAAACACCTTCACCATCAATTAGTAAGGACTTTTAGGGTTTGATGATGCAACCAGATTAAAGCAGGGGGGGCTGCAATTTAGCAGCTATGTATTTCAGATTCAAGAAGCCAGAATGCTTCTCCAGTTCAACTTCTGTTCTGGAATATCACCTGAAGTGGCTTCACCTTACACAGAGCCTTGGCTTTGAACTAAACCTGTGAAGGCTTTTTCTATTCTCCACTACCATTTACCACTTCCTACCTTTACAAACTCCCATTTTCTATTCCCTTTCACTCCTTTGACCCGTGTTCTGCAGCACACAAGGCAGCAGCACTTCCTTGTTTGTGTGTTAGCACCATCCCTGGGAGCAGCAGAGCTCGGGGAATGATCTGGCTCTGCAGCAGTGAGAGGCTACATGTGGAGGAGCAATGCCCACCCACAGAGCAGGAGGCATACAAGGGATAATTAAAAACCAGTATTTGGGAACAGACATAAGCCCTTGTATGCTTTTTTTTTCAGGTATAATTTTAGGGTAAACGCTTGGGTTGCCTGTGTGCAAGTTAAAACCCAAACATCTTATTTCCTTGAAGTCAACTACTGTTAGTATTAAGTCAATGAAATAACAAGATGAGAAGCAATTTCTACTTCTAACAGCAATTACTTCCTATGGAAAGGAAAATTAAACAGTGATCAAACACAAGGTGACTGAGAAACTCAAGATTCATCTTTCTAAACTTTTTTTTTTAATGTGGTAAGAGCAGTCTTTAAGTAAAATAGTTTAAGCAAGGTAAAGTTTGATGAAGTCAAAGTCAAGTCATTCACAATCTCACTATCAATAAAGAAAAAATGAGCAATACAAATAGAATTCACAACTCTGTTGAAAACCTAGACTCTCCTGTTACCCAACAAAAACATTGCAAGTGCTTCTAGTACCCAGGCTAACCCCAGCAGAACAAAGCACTGGGTCCCACAAACGTGCTTTGTGCCTGCCCTAGGAGCAGGGAGGACACCCAAGAGAGGTCCAGGTGATGTCTCTGGCTAAGTGCAGAACCTCAGTTTCCACCAGAGTTCTCTACATATAATTATCCTGAAACTAAAAGAGGTCAAAGTTAGGCAAAAAAAACCAAACAAACAAACAACAAACAAACAACATGCCAAAATAAACCCAACCACAGACACCAGAAACAGGATCTGTCAGATTTAACTACAGCCTTTGGACTTTATTAAATTTCTAAATGGCTCTGTCCTGCTTTATACCTCGCTTTATTTATGGCAGCAGAGAGATAAATTACTAACTGCATTAAATGGAAAAAGAGGTACCTGTCCCTAAAAGCCTCCAAAGAGCCAAGGAGCAGAGGGCAGCACAAAAGGGAAGAGCTGCATCACCTCACCCGCGGGGTGCAGAAGTGCTGGAGAAGGGCTCACAGGAGACCTGGTCCCCCAGGGCAGAGCAACGTTTGCTGGCTGAGGGAGAAGCTGCACATCTCTAATCAATGCCTCCCTCCCACAGGCAGCCACCTGACGCCTCAGACACGCTGCAACTGCCGTTGCTCAAGACTCTGGACCAGCCTTGCTCGGTCAGCAGGCTGCAGAAACTGCTCTGAGGGACTGGATGAAACAAGTGCACGCTGAAAACACTCCACCTTACTTCTGCTAAGGGTTTTATACCACTCAACACAAATTCTTAGCAAATTCGTGCCCTTTCACTACCTCTTCAAGTCAGATTTTTGGAGAACGTGAATGTTCCCCTTGACAAATCCTAGTGAATATGAGGAACATAATGTAATTTATAAACCCTTGTTAAGTGAGCAGCTGGGGCTCCTCATCCTGGAGCTGTGCCTCAACATATAAGGCAGAACAACGTAGGATGCATGAGGCAAGTGAAAATAATATATCAGTAAATGACACGTAATGTTACCTTTTATTTTCCCTGCTTGCCACCTGGGCAATAAAAAGCTTCATGTCTTCTCTTTACAACAAAATACACTGGGATTATTAATTTCTAATCAAATGGAGTTTGTGCTCCCACAGTGCATCTTAACACACACAACAGCAACTAACAGTAGCAAAGAGAAAACTATTTCTCGGTCTATTTACATCCACAAATACAATTTAAGTATGGAAATGCAGTATTTGGGGATCACAAAAGAGATCTTTAAGGAGCCTTACACTAACAATTATTATGTGCCATTTCTGAAACATGAAAAAGACAGTAGTTAATCTGGGTTTGCTCTTGCTCATTTTCATGAAATTTTACCCCAAAGCATTATAAACAACTATCTGCCCTTTCCCAAAATATTAATACCCTGTTTTTGATGAAAACGTTGGAAAAGCAGACTTGTGCAGAGAGCCATCACAAGGCAAAAGCCAAGTAAGATGTTTCAGAGGTACAAGTTAAGCAGCTCAGATTCAGAAAAAAGGACCTTGGAGGAGAAGCTCAGCGACTTGCCCGTTCAAATTCACCGCCAGCCTTCCTCTGCAGACCTCCGGGAGGGGAAGAAGCGCTTTTCCGAGTCCCCCGGTGAGTGCCCACTGACAGCACAGGGGACACGGAGACCAAGGGACCCGCGGG